TATTCCAGCTGTATGGCGGCCGTGTATAAATAATCGAGTTTGGTCCACACTATCCAGTGATCGACAACATGAGCATCGATCTACGCAATTAGGATACGATGGCATGTGTCAACCAACTCAGCGAACCTGACCACTCGATCCCGTTAGTCGCCTATTACGACAAGTATGGGTTACTTAAGCCCAATTCTAACCTGGATCTTCACGGATACAATGGGTGGTCGTTTGCTGGTGATCCCAAATTCCCTGATTCGTTTCCCCATATGGGTATAGTCTGTGCCCTAATATTGCTGGAATCTTGCTATAAGCTAGATAAAAAATAACTTAATCACTGGTAAACAATATCAAAACACCTCTCCATAGCTTCACAAACTCACTATCCCATCACTGATTCCGAACTCAAGAGCGATAGTTTTCGTCGACAAGACAGTTTACATAAAAGATTTGAACTTCTAATTTCATTTGAATAACTGAAAATGCGAACCCGCAATACTATTAAACATCAAAAATACTCCATGTTGGTCGAATGTCGGTTGGTGATGTAAAACAACACTTATTTATACGGCCTTACAGATGACATATCTGCAGTGCTTTCAGTTTGTTCCAGTTAGTTCGTATTCGGCTTTGTGGTATTGATTGATAGTATTGGGTTCTTCTATGGCCTGTAATTAGCTCGAGTAGTAGTTATAGCTCTCACTGTGTCAGGAGGTCAGCCTACTTAACGCCAAACCCGTCCTCTGCTGTCTTCTTGTGTCTTGGTGTTCAGTGGTCCTGTATATTCATTGCCCGTGGCCAGTCGCAGAGGAATGCCGTAAGACAAGGTCAGATAACTCTAGGCAAGAAGTGTTGTTACTGTTGGTCTGTCATCAGTTGGAATAACCCTCATTTAGGTGACGATGAGGGTTGGAATTGGTCTTTATCAACCCATGCTTGTCGTAAGAGGCGACTAAAGGGACCGTGTGTTCAGACTCGTATCCCAATTGCGTAGATCGATGCTCATGCTGTTGATCACTGGATTGTTTGGTTCAGATTCGATTATTTACATAACGTCATATAGCTGGGATATTGCTGAGCATCAAAACAACAACAAACAACGCAATTAGAATTGCCCAATAGGATTCTGTTGCTTGTCGACAGAATGTGGATTGGATGGTCAAACTCGGAGACTGCCGACGCTGCCCATATCGACCACTGGTTTCATGAATTATGTACCTGCGTGGTTCTATTGCTGATTGTGGCGTCAAACAAGATGTCATTCATGGACGTATGTCATGCCGGATTATCGTGTTACATTGCTATCAAGATTAACTATTGAAATGTTTGAACTTTCATCCTCACAAAATGCTTCGTCATGTGAAACGTCCTGATATAATGAATTCGGATATAGCGAGTACCAGGCTATAACCAACCCAGTATAATCCTAATATGACGAAATGATTAACAGTTCACGCTGAAGATGTTGTCTTTGAATGTTTCTATCGATATGAAACTCCGGTTAAATAAACCAGTGTTCGATCCACCCGTTCACCTTGAAGTATGGAATTCTGTAACTATTTGATTTGACATTCCAAAACACTACAACAATCTGACCTCATCCGCGATACACGAAAACTCTGTTTGAATAACCTCTGATTAAAAGAGATTTTAGTACTAGTTTTGAAAAAGCGCTACTACAAAAATATCTATTTTATTATCACTGTTATTATGAAGGACTTGGAATATGGATCCCTCGCTTGTTAGACACTGGAACCCAAGATTAACGTCAGGGACGTTATTTTTAAACAATGACATTACCATTCTGTCAGTGTTCAAGAATAACTCAGAAAATTGATTAAACACTAAACCACATATTGTACTTTATCAGGATTACTCTGAGTGATAAATCACATGGATTAACTGTTGAAGGTACCACCTGAAGCTTTATGGCTTCAGAGCTGAGATGTGTTTTGTTGTTGTGTTCATAAATAGCTGAACGTTTTAGCCATTTAATCATCGGAATGTATATATAATAGCTGACAGCTAAAGCCGTCATTTAGAGCGTTTATGTGTTCCACGTTACACAATATGTATATAAACTGATTCTAATCATGCATACCATTATGTAATAATGATGCATACATGCATGCATAAATACATAATAGCCACACACATTTGCAAATCATTATAGCAATTACATGTGATGCAAGTATAAGTACAGTGCTCCATCAGTGGATGTAATTTGTGGCGTCAACGCCAGAGCAGAACGAGCTCGGGTTTTGTGTTGACACAGATTCTATTGGTCATCATTGGCAAACTAGCGATAAAATGGACGATGTGTTCGCAACATGGGTAAGCATGTTCTGATATACCAATAAGCCCCGTTCGTGGGTCTGTGATTAAAACAATATCAAATTTTCTGGATTCACATAATGTTCATGATATAGTCGAAATCGTACAATCGACTCTGTTTTCAGCAGACATTCTTTAAAATGAATATAGAAATTGTGCTGACGCATTTATTAATAAACCTTGAATACTTATTGTTTTTTGTAATCAAATATATTGTTTTTAAAAAGACAACTAAAAAGTCACGTTGCCCCGAGGTGATTCGTAGATATTGTCACAAGGGGGTCGACTCCGTTATGTCTTTTAACTGAATCTATTCTCAGCGAAATATTATATACAGTATGCTTCTGTTCAGATGATATCATTCTATTGCGTCCTACGCGCTTGCATGAATTTCAAATAAATCTTCAAAAGGTCCAGGAAATTATAAATTTGCGCTTAGAATTAAACGCACACAGCGAAACCCTGATAATGTCCTATCGCTCAGCGTATTGTATGTTCAGATCCAATAATTCCCAAATGGCTATCAAATATTATGAGTGTTTAACGACACTTCAAGCTTTATGAGAATAACAAATAGGGGTGGAAATATTACCTTGTCATGAAAACCACTTACGATAATGCATAAATCATTACGTCAATATAAGGTTGCGCCGTTTCAAGAGAAAGCAATATATTTTTTTATATTTGTCAAGGGATTTTTATCCGCTTCGATAGTAATTGGTAACCTAGAACTTGACGACCGGTACACTGGGTTGATTACTTTAAAAACGATATCGACTTTCATTGTTGCTCTTTTGTCTGAAGTAGGTTAATGATCTGGATTTACGATTTGGAATAAAAGACGAATAGTATTGGGATGGCTCGCACGGTCTTAAGCAGGTTTATCACCTCGTGGTATTTCCTGTATGGAAAAGGCACCGTCAAACATGTACAAAATGTATCGGTATGCGAAGGAGATATAGAGCAAGAGGAAAAAATAGAGCCCATCGATCCCAGATCAATAAAACAATCAAATCATTATTGAAATATCAGTGATTTTCTAAAAAGGTTTTTATTAACGTCAGCTGTTTCATTGACTACTTTTTGACAAGGTCACCAATGTAACAGGCTAGTGGTTCATAATGTCAGCAATCCCACAGACAAGAGATGAGTGGCGCGGTGGGTAGCCTAGTGGTTAAAGCGCTCACTCGTCACGCCGAATATCCGGGTTCAAGTCAACACATGGGAACATTGTGTGAAGCCCATTTCTTGTGTTCCTCGCCTTGATATTGCTGAAATATTGCTGAAAGCGGCGTAAAAATAAAGTCACCAATCTTACGTGACGGTACTAGATGTTGACAATGCCACCAATCTAACGTACTAGATATAGATAATGTCACCAATCTAACGTGCTAGATATAGATAATGTCACCAATCTAACGTACTAGATATAGATAATGTCACCAATCTAACGTACTAGATATAGATAATGTCACCAATCTAACGTACTAGATATAGATAATGTCACCAATCTAACGTACAAGATGTTGATAATGTCACCAATCTCACGTACTAGATGTTGATGATATATCCAATCTAACGTACTAGAAATAGATAATGTCACCTATCTCACAAATTTGTAGCCGCAACTCTCATAAGGTTAGAGGCTTGTAGTTTGGAAGGCCTATCATGTTACAAGCAGATGGTTGATATTGTCTTTAATGTTACAGACAATTGGTGTATAATGTCAGCATAGTTACACACTAACATGTGATAAAGTCAGCAGTTACAGACTAACGGTTTATGACATCAGCAAGGATATAAGTTAGTGCTTGAGGTTGTCTATAAGGTTACAGACAAATGGTATATAATGACACCACGGTTATATATTATTGGATAATTAAGTCAGCAATGTTACAGACTAACGGTTTATAACATCATATAATGTCACATATTAATATTTGATATTATCTATAAAGTAACAGACAAGACACATACTATAAGACGATTCGTTGACAACGCCAGCACAATTACTTGTCCGGCGGAATAGTCTGATTTGTCATGAAAGTTAGGCACATGTTATTTACAAACGCATGATGTATATTTCAAGAGGCGACCAACAGTTCACTCGAGGACAGCCTGATGTGTCATTCATATTCCACACATGTAATGATAGACACATGTACATTTCAGGAGGCGACCAGCTGTTCTCTCGAGGACAGTCTGATATGCCATTCATGTTGCACACATATTACGATAGACACATGTATAATGCAGGAGGCGACCAACAGTCTCTCGAGGACAGTCTGACGAGTCATGTTTGTTGCACACATATTACGATAGACACGTGTATAATGCAGGAGGCGACCAACAGTTCTCTCGAGGACTGTCTGACGAGTCATGTTTGTTGCACACATATTACGATAGACACGTGTATAATGCAGCAGGCGACCAACAGTTCTCTCGAGGACAGTCTGACGAGTCATGTTTGTTGCAAACATATTATGATGGACACATGTATATTTCAGGAGGCGACCAACAGTTCTCTCGAGGACAGTCTGACGAGTCATGTTTGTTGCACACATATTATGATGGACACATGTATATTTCAGGAGGCGACCAACAGTTCTCTCGAGGACAGTCTGACGAGTCATGTTTGTTGCACACATATTTTGATGGACACATGTATATTTCAGGAGGCGACCAACAGTTCTCTCGAGGACAGTCTGATGTGGCCTCAGCGAGGCATTAAGAGCCAGGAGGAATGTCTGGCAAAATTGGGGGATGCGGCGTTTCCGAATGACGGAGGTAAGTCCAGTTTGATTCAATAAGTACACTGTCGGTATGATTCAGTCGCACCTGTGTAATTCAGCAGGTGTTGGAGCCGGACTGTTCTTGAACTACGTCCGCAGGGTACAGAGGAAAGTACGTACGGCTGTATACTCGTATTGGGAAAAGGGCATATTCAGATTTTTGGAGAGTTTTTATGGATTGCGTACGTAATTTTGAGACTGCGTACTGCTTATCGAGAATGGGCGTATCTATATTGACTACGTATTGCTAACGGAGCATTAAATTGTATTAGCTACGTATTGGTTGGGGGCATGTTTGTACTTGTATTGACAACGTAATGTCTATAGGCTTGTACCTAAGCGTATCGATTGCGTATCGTTTAGGGGGCATGTGTGTAATTGTATTGACAACGTAATGTTTATGGGCATGTACCTAATTGTATCGATCCCGTATGGTTTAGAGGGCATATACCTAATTGTATTGACTTCGTATTTTAATTTTGCATGTGCGTAATTGTATTAACAACGTAATGTTTATGGACCTGTATGGATATCCAATTCGTGACTGACTCTCCAGTTCATGGTATTGTATGATTACACACATGCATGAAATGACGATGTCGGCTGTGTAACTGAATAACGGCACTCGCCGCGGCTTATTTCCAACCTCCGTTTCCAAACGTTGAACATCCACCTAGCTATAGGTGACGCGGACACTTCATACAGACAGGAGCTATGCTTTTCTGTATTGTATAATCCTCTTCGCAATGCGTGAAGCCCATGTCTGGTGTCCCCCGCCATGATATTGCTGGAATAAAGCTAAAGGTGGCGTAAAACAAAACTCACTCACTAATCCTCTTTGTGACGTCTCTGGCGTCTCTATGTCCTCCCTTTTAGTTCGTAATTGACAAAAAGTAGTGAGAAAGAACACAGTGATTGGCGTGAGAGACACGCTATCCTGCATAATTAGTAATTTTTTTGTATGGTCACAACAAAAAAAGATGCAGAAAAGCTGTTAGATTATGGAAAACTGTGAAGAATGCCTTTTACGTATCGATCCAAGCTTCCTTCTTAATCTCAAAGTGATGTTTTCGCACCACGAATGTTTCCTAGAGAACATTAGATGATCCTTTGTCACAACAGATTGCACAGAAGTTTGTCGTCATCCAAATATTTAAGCTAGTACCGATGGTTAAGGATCAACTATATCATGATGGTTTGGGTGATGGACGAGTGTCTGTGCTAGTGCGTGTGTGCGTGCGTGCGTTCGTGCATGTATGTGTGTGTATGAGCGTCTGTGTCCGTGCCTTTGTCTCTGTGTGTGTCTGTGTGTCGGTGGGCGTGTGCAAATTTGCATGTCTGTGCGCATTGGCTTAATTGTTTCTGTGCCTAACTTTCTTTGGCATTTAGAAGTTACATTCTTGACAACTGAAAAACATATGCTATTACATTGGCAGGCACCATGTCGGGGTGAAATTTGTGATTCTTTCACGTCGATTGAATGGCTCAGTAGTATGTGTTTTTGCCACACTGGTTTCATTCTTCTAACTAAATAAAAATGTTGCAACGGACATAACGTTGTTGAATTGATATTTTAGAATCTCTTTTTTGGCACTCTGTCTCATGTGAGGAGAAATATATTTTTGTGATACTGTTATTTTCTTGGCCATCACTAAAAGATGGTGAGAATGATGATGGTGGTGATGATGATGATGATGATAATTACGACGACGACGAGCACGATGACGAGTATGATGACAGTTAATCAGAATCAAGTGCAGCTCACATGACCACTAGTAGACATTCGGGCTAACTGTGAAAGGCTGCTTCACAAATCAAATCCTCTTCAATCGGTGATTAGTAAATGTGAGGCGTCAACACCAGATAATAACTAGCCTTGATTGTCTGATGAAACACATTCCATAGAGCGCTAAAGACAAAACATCCGAGCCAATTATGAGAACAATTCACCGATAGTCTGGTCGTGTCAAACTACCAATGTGTGATCTATAATGGCAACCCCTTATAAATAATCATGGCTTGGCAATTGTTACACTGGAAACATATCGTATTGTAATTATAACTGATTATGTTTGCACTCAAAGTTTAACATTAATATGGATAGTCTGAGGTTAACTACTAATTATAAATGAATATATGTGCACTGAAAGTTAACATTAATATGGATAGTCTGAGGTTAACTACTAATTATAAATGAATATATACTACCCATCAAAAGTTTAGATTCATCTAAAGCACACACTATATATTAAGTATATATATATGGTTGCATCGAAGATGAATTTCTCCACTAACCTGGGGGAACCAACTGCAAACTTTATGCAGATGAATTGTACGAGGATCATGCATCCAATTGCTATAAAGCATGTGCAAATATCCTTCATGTGAACAGCGTCGTCTTGGTGTAAATTTTGTGTTAAGAATTCGTCAATTTTCACTGATTTTCATCATGCACTGAACTCATGACAAGAATCTTTTCACTGTTACGAATTTGTTTTACAATGCAGTAAGTCATGTGTAAACAACACCTTTAATCTGAATGGAATATTTTGCAAATTCAAGTTTAGAATAGTTGATTGAATTCGATTTAAGTGGCTACATTTAGATCAGTGACTCTAAACTTTTAATGGGTAGTATATTAGCTTAATGTTAATATGAACTATTTATTATAAATGAACATATATTAAGCTCACAGATATAGTGGGTGAGTGAGTGAATATGGTTTAAGGACGCTTTCAGCAATATCCAAGCAATATCACAGCAGGGACACCAGAAATGGGCTTCACACATTGTACCCATGTGGGAAATCGAACCGGGCCTTCGGCGTGACGAGCGAACGCTTTAACCACTAGGCTACCGATGGCTATCGAATCTATTTGATCCCTTTGTGGAAAGTGGCCCATGAATATAAAAAAATGAAATAACTGAGAACAACAAAAAATACGCACTGATATGCCCGCCTCTTCCGAAACACGTTAAAGAGGCTGTGGAATGTTTGTACGTAAACATCTCTGGGAAACAGGTGACGGAATGATAATGTCGACTTCAAACAGTTATGATTAGCAGCTAAAGGACACTTTCATGTATAATCATGCAATATGATGTGGCATGTGTAGACAGAATTATGTAAGATTGTGGCGTTGATTACTATCATTATATTCTCTCGTTGGAAGAAGATTAAGAATCCAACTGTTACAACTATAATAATAGCGATAATAATAGCTTAATTAAGTGGCCTAAAAAGAGAAACAGAATGCTTGTTTGCTGCTCAGCACCAGTGAGTCTCACTCCTAACTGGCAGTGCTTGACTTTGCATGAAATTCTTAATATGAAATGTAGATTATGTAATCAATTTAACGAAACCGTCCAAAGTCATGTCAGTGGATGCCCAGCGTTTTCACAAACACCGTGTCTGAAACGACATGACGGTATGGTTCCTTCTTGTTATAAATCGGGGCGATGGGGTAGCCTAGTGGTTAAAGCGTTCGCTCGTCACGCTGAAGGCCCGGGTTCGATTCCCCATATGGGTAAAAAAGATGATGCCCATTTCTGGTGTTCCCCGCCGTGATATTGCTGGAATATTGGTTAAAGCGGCGTAAAACCATATTCACTCACTCACTCTCACTCGCTCTCGCTCTTGTTATTACCATCAATTCATGGCAGACCTTATGGAAGGCGTCACGAAAACATGAGAGTCCTTTGGAATAGGTTCATACGTATCAAAGAAACCAAAACTGACCTTGTCGTATTTATGAAAGCAATGAAATGAGTTAAATCATTGAATTTCGTGCTTCTTTTGACACAAGTGTGATTGACAACATTTAGAAATAACATGCCTAACTCGCTAACGAAATGCCACACCTCCCACGTACCAAATCGGCCGACCCCTCCGTTATCCTTGGTTACCTGGGCTTGGTATCTTAAAATAGCACCCGGGTTTGTTGCCAGGAGCATAGCCTTTCTGACACGCAAGGTAGTTCAGAAAACCGCAGTGTTGGGCAGACTTCATATCCTACAGGGATTTCTTGGTGGGTTCGACTACGCAGCACTCCCTTGAAGAAGTCCCATTCGCTGTTTGGTCTGCGTGCAAAGAGGGCACTGGCGCCTAACCAGCATATCAGAACGCTCTTTGCTACATGTAATAGGTTAATCTGTGAAATAAAGACGATGACGACATCGCGATGATCTCTAAATAATCGAGTCTTAACCAGCCAATGAGCAAGAGCATCGACCCGCGCAGTTGGCATACAATGACACGCAGTCATCAAAGCCAGCGGACTGGACCATTTGATCCATGTATTTGCCTCCTACAGCAAGCATGCTGTATTTTGATGTGTACCTATATTCCATCGGGGAATATGAGCTTCAAGCAGCTAATGCATGCAGATGGTAGACTTGGCATTCGTATTATAGATGCATTCTTAGTCAAATCCTGTAAAGAAAATAGTCATACCTTTTGCTCAAGCATAAGTGATCCAGTATGCTATATGATTGTTTTATAGGCCACTGAAAAAATATCTGTTTATTTGTGTTCACCCTAGTCATGGAGTAATGGAAGATACAATCCTACCGGGTATCCACTGAAGGCTACGTGACTAAATTCAAATTGTAAACAAATTCCCTTGTCTTTGAAAACACCACATTTATAGTCCGTCACCCCAATAGTTACGTCACCAATCTTCAAATTTATTCCAATGTCATCATGTTGTCACACTTCGAACTGTTTTGTCGGTGCCTTAATAATTGTTTGCCGGTGCCTTAATAATTGTTTGGCTGTGCCTTAATAATTGTTTGGCTGTGCCTTAATAATTGTTTGTTGGTGCCTTAATAGTTGTTTTGCCGGTGCCTTAATAATTGTTTGCCGTTGCCTAAATAATTGTTTTGCCGGTGCCTTAATAATAGGTTTTGCCGGGGCCTTAAAAATTGTTTTGCCAAGCCTTAATGGAAAATAGTTTTAAAAACTTCTTGAACTCTTGTCCAAGAGAGATATGTGTA